AAGGCTGATAAGTACAAGTAATTTGTTTGTTAATTGTTAAATTAATGTATCATTTATACACACAACCCGTATGAAGGACGGGTACACAGCTAGTGCACTATAAGACAGTTAATAATGCTCTTTATAACACAAAACTTTAATAACTTAATAATTAACTTTTCTACATAATTCTAGTGTTAACCATGCATTTTCTACTTAATTCTTTAGTAAACAATGTACTACAATTCTTTTGTAAATACTGCATTTATATTAAGCATTTACAACAAAATTCTTGAGTAAACAATGCACCTTCTCTAAAGATAATAAAAATCAGTTCTTACACAACAATTAACTTTAGCTTTGCTCCTTATATACAAGATGCGCATATCAAAAGTAATCAAAAAATAAAATTAGCTAAAAATATAAAGTTGTACATTACATAGGAAAGTATTTTATTGTTTATAAAAACTGATTAGTTTCAAAATCAAGTAACTTACTTTCTGAAAAACGATTCAAGGCCTTCTTCAGCGTATGTGACATTAAGTTAAACAAATCTTCCCAACGTCTCTTCACAAAGCAATTCTATTGGCAAAACATAAGTATCACAGCAATACGACATTGAAAAAATAACAGAATTAAAGTTAATTACACTGAAACATTTAATTATAAATAAAGCAAAATTTGTATCTCCTACTTTGGTGCATTAGTTTCATGTAAACCCTTATATAATAAATAAATTCTTTATTAAAAAACATCATCTGATAGGTCAGCATTAACAATAAGTAAATGTATTATAACACACATATAGTAAGTTTTGCACAAGATGTAAAAAATTACCAGTAGCTGATCTTTAGATACCAAAGGGCTATTTTAAACTTAAACTTTACAATGTTTTCAACCAATTTTTCTTCTTTATTATTAATTAACTTTTGACTTACAACAAACATAATTGCAGTAAATATGCACTCACCATAATGTGAGCAAGAAACTTGGCATTTTGTTTACGAGAAAATGTTTCACAGAAAAGTTCTTCATACTCATCTCTTAAAGGTGCTAATAATAACTTTATTTCCACTGGTTTATAGCTGTAAAATATACATAAAAAAATTATGTACTTCTATAAAAATATACATACATACATATATATGGTAAATTGTTTTAATGCTTCTTTAAAGTTCATAAAAAAAAGCTTTAACTCTTTACTTATAAAATTCTTAAATGATGCCTACTGGTAGAGAAAAGGTTGATTAAGACTTTAAATTATCTTTTATCTGAATTACAGACATGTAAAATTACCTATTAATTAACTAATTAAATCCTCCAAGATCACAACTAGTATTACAAATGTTTAGTAAACTACTTGTATAAATAGTTTTCTTATTTATGCACATAAGGAGGATTTAATAGATCTACATATGGAACAATAACAAAAATCAGTTTTTAATTCAGAAGGTGCCCTGTGTCTTACCCGCCTAGTAGATCAATGCTGTCACTCTGCTGACTCATATTAATTACAGTCAGGTTATGACCTGAAAAAAAAAATTGTGTGCATGTGTATATATCATTTGGAAATACAAGTTAATGTTTCATTATCTAATGAATAATATAAATAAATAAACCAACTGAAATCTTTCTAGTATTTGGTGAATTAATTTACCTCTAACACCTCTCAGCTGTACTGATTCTTTATAATTTTGTCTTCTTTCTCTTTCAATTATTCTTACAAAAATTCTGATTGAAAGCTTTCATAAAACTCTACAGGATGCATAGATGATTTAGATGAAGATTCTACGTTAAAAAGAGTGTGACTTGGTTACAATTAAAACAAATTTCATTTACTCAGGAAGAAAGAGGACAACAATTTTTTTTTAATATTACTTAAAAGCACACCCACAAAACCTTAAGACTAAAAAAACAATGAATCAAAAATACACAAAAAAGCTTACCTGTCATTCGAGCAAGATATTGAACTAAAGATGTCTTCCCTGTGCCAGTCTCCCCAACTAGTAACACAGGTTCTGCATGTTCTACACAAACAGCTACTGATTCCAAAAGAGCCAAAGACTGCTGAGTGTGTGCAAAAACACAATGTTTTACTCTGCAATTGTAAAATAAGGTTTTTAGAAGGAACCCTACATTAAAGATAATACATTCATTCTAACAAAGAAGTTCCCTTTTCATTTTCCCAATAAATAAATAAAAAATTCTTATAATTTGAAATAATAATTTATCCAATTTCTTTGTGTGAGATATAAAATGTCTAAATAATTTAGTCTCATTGTTTACTAAAAATCATAATGTCACATTTCAAATATAATTTTCTAAAACATATTTTGAAATTATTCTTAAATGTGTTTGTTTTGTTGTTTTTTTTTTAATTTCGCACAAAGCTACACGAGGGCTATCTGCACTAGCTATCCCTAGTTTAGCAGTGTAAGAATAGAGGGAAGGCAGCTAGTCATCACCACCCACCGCCAACTCTTGGGCTACTCTTTTACCAATAAATAGTGGAATTGACCATCACTTTATAATGCCCCCAAGGCTGAAAGGGCGAGCATGTTTGGTGTGACAGGGATTTGAACCCGCGACCCTCAGATTGCAAGTCAAGTGCCTAAACCTCCTGCCATGCCAGGCTTCTTAAATGTGCTTAACTAATCATAACTGTTATTCTTGTATGATTCCAGAAAAACATGTCAAAACAGATCAACTAAAAGTTGATTTGATAGGCACATGTACCATTTTCATCTTTTAAAAATAACTTCAAGTAACCAACATTCGGTTAAGATATATTAAGCTATTCAAAGTCAATCTCCTCTTTATATCTAAACTTCTAACTACAGTATCAACAAGCAAATGCATAAAGTAAATAAATATCCTCAAGAGCTGCAAGAAAGCAAGTAAAAACTCAAGTAATTATATAATTTACTATCAACTGCTCTTACTGAAACTGTAAAATGTCCCAAACATACAGCTAATATTAGAAAGATAATGTAACAATAAAAATTACAAGTCCATTTTAGAAATATCCCACCTCTGACAAGAAATTAGCCCACTTTGCTTTCTGGGTAAGACTGCTCGACCAACTGTCAAATCTTCAGTAGTAATACTAATTTCTGGTTTATATCTACAGCAAAGTAACTCAGCCTGAAAGACAAAACATTAGCTTTATAAAATCACACAGTAATGAATAATGGTAATTTGTTATAAAGCAAGTGGAAAATTAGTTATCTAACTGAATTCTGAATTTTCACAAATAAACATTTTTTATGATTAAATAGACATCTTTTAAGCCTTGGGTTGAGAATGGTTATGGAGCTCAAAGTATTATACATACACTTTGGATATAGAACTCAATCTGGTATTAGATAAAAATGACAAAAGCTGTCAAATGACACAACTAAAGACTGTCAAAATATGAAAAACAATAACCCTGCCTTAGTAACAACATTCTACTCCTACTTTCAAACAGTTTTATATTACTATGTGCATCATTATAATATCATTAGATATACTGTAAAGTTAATAATTCTATACTAAATTTACATTTGTTTTATGTCAATATACAAATTAACTATAGAAGCACGGACATAACAACTTAAGGGTTTCAAATGGCCCCATCATGAAACTTATGAAAATAATTACCAAAATAAAACTCTTACCCCAAAAATTTTTTTCACCCAAGTTTCATTTTCCAGTTGTTGGCCATTTTGGATTTATGATGTCATAAACACAAAAGTCAGAATTAGAAAAAAAATACTTCTAAGATTTGATGGTGTATGAAAATTTTTCATTGAAATATCATTGTTTTGTACTTGTTGTGATCCTCAGAAACCAAATAATATAACAGATATAACTTTTCCAACTAAGGTACCTAAAGTTTGTTTACAAAAAATGCAGTTTATGAAAAACCAGAGAAACACTATATAAAATGCCAAGACATATGACACACTTATAATAAAATAAACCACTTAAAACTTTGGTGTCCACAAAAAAACTCTTTCCTTTTGGCTTTATCGTTTTTGAAAATGTGTAAATGGTTATACAAGATAATGTGCTCCATTGCATGAGTTACCACTTCTACATACATTCTGAACACTTAAGAACTCTTTACAACATATTCTTAAGATTGTAGAAACTTGCAAGTTAAATCATCAAACACCATCCCATATGTCAAAGTGTCATTTTGGGGGGGGGTTGCAGCCTTTGGGCCCACAGAATAGTACCAAACCTCCCTTTATTTTTTTCTTCAAATGAGTTTTATTTCACCAAGAAAAATTCCTAGAATTATTTCAAGAAACACCAAGGTTTATGTTGTTTATTTATTGCATAAACATGTCACATGACTAAGTACTTTATAAAATTTTCCCCTGCTTTTCATCACACTGTATTTTTCCCAAACAAATCTTAATTCAGAAAAAGTTAAAGCTATAAAGTTATTTGGTTTCTTAGAATCACAACAAGTAGAAAACAACAGAAGTTCAACAAAAAATGTTCACACATCATCAAATCTAAGATATCATTTTTTTATGAATCCAACTATAGGACAGGACAATGCTTAACAATGTCATAAATACAAAATGATCAACACTTAAAAAATGAAATTTAGATAATAGGTTTCTTGTTGTAAAGTTTATTTTGGAACTATTTATATAAACTTTCCTGATAGGGTCATTTTGGGTCGTTAAATCCCCTTCTCCTTTCTCTATAATTTAGAATCTGTTGCATAAAAAAAGAAATAAATTGTGGAAGAAAACAATAAAAATGCCAGGTTTCTAACATAAAGCTACTAAAACTAGACAACTTTCTAAGCATATAAAAACTATAGTTCAAGGATACGTTTGTTTTCAAATTGTACAGTTACTTTATACAGCTTTGACTGAAAATATAATCATGAATAAACCACAGATGAAAGTAAAAATATAAGGCATCAAAACCAAAAGTTTCATGAAATTATGACTGTTTTATCCTTTTTTTTTGTTTGGGTGGAGTGGGGTCAACTGTATTGTTATCAACAATGCACTATTTTTACTGACCAAAACAGTAACGTGCTGACCATTAACAATTATTTTTAAATCATCTTCAGTATTTATTACTTGAATTGAAAACTACTTAAATACATATTATTTTAACAAAACAGAAGTTACACTCAAGAACTCAAATAATTGGTATTCTGTATAAAAAGTTCCATAACTAAATAGCAAGTCAAGAAGTTCATATTCTACACAAAGTACTATAATTAAATAAAAAACCAAGAATTTCAAATTCTGTATAAAAATACCAAAACTAAATAACAAATCAATAAGTTCATATTCTGTATAAAAGTACCATAACTAAATATCAAATCAGTAAGTTTATATTCTGTGTAAAAATACCATAAGTGAATAGCATACCAAGAAGTTCATATTCTATATAAAAATACCATAACTAAACAGCAAACCAAGACATTCATATTCTGTGTAAAAATACCATACCAATAAGTTCATATTCTATATAGAAGTATCTTAACTAAACAATAAATCAAGAAATTAAAATTCTGTATAAAAGTACCATAACTAAATAACAAATCAATAAGTTCATATTCTGTATAAAAGTACCATAACTAAATACCAAATAAAGAAATTAAAATTATTTATAAAAGTACCAAAACTAAATAACAAATCAATAAGTTCATATTCTGTATAAAAGTAACATAACTAAACAGCAAACCAAGACAAGACAGTCATATTCTGTGTAAAAATACCATAAGTAAATAGCATACCATTCTATATAAAAGTACCATAACTAAACAGCAGACTAAGACATTCATATTCTGTATAAAAGTATCATAATTAAATAACAAATCAGAAAGTTCATATTCTGTGTAAAAATTCCACAACTAAATAGCAAACCAAGAAGTTCATATTCTGTATAAAAGTATCATACATAAATAACAAATCTAGAAGTTAAAAAGTTTATATTCTTTATGAAATTACTATCACTGAATATAAACAATAACAAATCAAGAAGTTTGTATTATATATAAAAAGTACATAGCTGAATGATATGGGATTCTCTCCGAGTATATCATGACTAAATAACAAATCAAGATATTGGTATTATGCATAAAAAATTAAGAACCTTAATGAGTATGAAGTTTAAAATAAATTATATAAAAAATTCACCCCTGAAGAACAACAATTCATCTTTCAAACTACTTATGGTAACCAAATGCCTTCAAGTGTAATTTATTCACTCATTTTAATACTGCTGTATTTTTCAAGTATTAGTTAATATTGGTTTAATGTATTCAAGAAAATGTACCTTAATCTTACAAAACAGAAAATAGGTGTACAAACCTGTGACTTTGCAAAGTTGAACTTTGGTCCAATCATGCAGGCTATTGATATTTTCTGACTTATACCTGGAAAACTCTGACAGAAGAAATCTAGGGCATCTTGAAATGCTGCCTGAGCCACACTCAAAGAGGTCAGATCAAACTCTCTTGCCACTCGGTGACACCATTTCATCAAATCTCTATATTTCAGAGTAGATTGACATTACAAATTGTCTCTATAATCTTCTACCAAACTGAACAATGCCTGTTGTATGGATTTTCATCTAACTTAAAAAAAGTGGTATCCTCATCCATTTTAAATACTTTCCTAAACCGTAGAATTACCAATGGGATATGTGCCCCTAAGGTTTTTAAAACTGTGTCCTTTATTTGGTTGGTTTCATGATAACGAAAGTCACACAAAAAATGTAAAGAAAAATATCATCAATATTTAAATTAGTCCAACTAATTACTTCTGGAGTTTTTTTGTGTATTTTATACAAAGAACAAGAGATTTCACCCAATTGTTTTTAGCATTTTTTTTCCACTCAGTTTTTTGAAAAGCAAAAATATAAAATATTAAATATGATACAATATGTGGGTCCTTTGAGAAATTAATGGAATGTAAATCAATAATTTGAGGGTTAAATAATAGTCATAAAATCAGTTCAGTTATTTATTTAGGAAAAATATTCTATCAGGTTTTTATAAATAAGAAAGTAAAATTACAATTTTAAAACTTACATAATTGAACAACCTTGTAAGTGGTAAATCTATATTCATTTTCTAACCTCAATTTGAGACAGATTGTACAAAGCAAATAATAACCAACCTTGACAATCACTGAAGTTCACAACTGTATGAAAATGTTTTCATATTAAAATTACAGTTCATGAATACTTCAACATGCTTAACCCTTTCCAGCCAAATATCTTGGGTTTTTACTTGGGGCAAAATAACAAAATGAGTTTTGAAAAATTCTCTGTGATCTATCACCTCAAGTTACATCCAAAACAAAGTTACAACTGAAATTTTGAGATTTAAATTTTCTTTTGATGAAAGTTTTACTAACATTTGTTTTAGATAGTAATTTCTAAAAAATCAAAACTGCTACCCACAATTTTGGATTTTTGTCAGCTGTTGTAAATATTTTTGAAATGGCAGTAATTAAGTTTTCCCACTAGCACAGTACAACTTATCAGTGGATGAAACTTAGCCACAAATCTGTTAATTCTTCATTCATCTGAAGCTTATTTTTAAATCAACAGTTTAATAGTTTGAAAATTTCTTCAAATTTGGTGATGTCAAGAAGTGTCAAATTTAGCTATCTACAAGTTTTGTTTTACAATTTTCAAGTTTCTAAAGCTAATAAAATCATAAATATATTGTCTTAAAACTTGAGTTATTTTCCTTCTTACTATTTATTTGTCACAGAGCTACATTCTGTTCTTATGCAAAGGCAGGGGCCATTACTTTTATCAATTCAACTGCATAGAAATCAGTTTCAGATTCAAACACCAATATATTTCTACTGGAACCAGGCACTGTATGTGGTAAACAGTTGAATGAGGCTGGGTCTGAGAGGGTGTTTCAGTTGTCTGGCAGGGAAAATAGAGAACAGTACAGGCAAAAGTAGTTGGTCAGGCAGAGGCTCCTAAAAGCCTGGGGATCAAAAAGTTCCCAGGTTCTTCATATACATGCTCTTTGGACAATACAGTGCATGAGTACTTTGTGTGTCACATGATCAGTAGATTGAGTAACAAGTTGTGGGTTTAATTGCATTACAACCCCTTTAACCTACACATTTAGTTGAACCTCTGAATAATTGGAATTTATCCAACCTTGTACTTCAAGCTGGACTTTCAGTACTTAAGGTAATGTTTTAGCCTTGGGTAATCTTTCTTGTCAACTATCCAATGGTTCTCGTGCCTTGTTCATGTAGATGCCCAGGGAGCAGGCCCAGAGGATGCCAAGGATGGAGATTCCAGTCAAGCCATCAGAAGTTATCCCAAATCAACTCATGTAAGAACAGATTCAGGCTCTGAAAAAGGACCTGTTAGTATGTGGGGAGAAATGAAACCTTGACCAACTTGAAGTTTTTTATATTTTATAATTTAATTTGTACATTTTGGTGTATGTATTTTTTTTATAGTGTTCTATCTATTACACACATGAGCATGTAAGTGTGAGATAAAATTTTGATGTGTTTAGGGTGCATCTTAACTATATATTTATTTAATCTAAGAGTGTCCTCTGTCTTTATGTGTTTCTTTGTACAAGAGTCATTATGTTTCATTCATTATTAAAGAGTATTTTTGGATTGCATTGTTTAAACATGTCTCATTTTTATGGTAATGTACTATAAAGGGTTCTTCCTTTGATTGTTTCATGCAATTATATCATGCATCATTTTGTATGACTATATATTTATTTATTTATCTATTTAATCTAAGAGTGTCCTCTGTCTTTATGTGTTTCTTTGTAAAAGAGTCATTATGTTTCATTCATTGTTAAAGGGTATTTTTGGATTGTGTTGTTTAAACATATCATTTTTATGGTAATCTACTATGGAGGGTTCTTCCTTTGATTGTTTCATGTAATTTTATTATGCATCATTTTGTATGAATTTCCATTATGGCTAAAAGTTTTTTTTTCTTCTTTTAATTATGTTTAATGTTATGTAGTTAAGTGTGGTATTTTTGTTAAAAGGTCACATTATCTATGTGGCATATTCATGTTCTTAGGAAAAAGAAAAATTAACATGCTTTTTGACTATGTCTTAAGTTTCAATTCAATTTTAACCATCAACTTGAGGTTAAGCCAGAAACATGATATATGATCAATTATGTGTCTTACACCATCTTTATTAAGGTAGAAATTTTTGATTTTGTTTCGTTTCTATGCAATTTTGACATAAAACACATGGTCCAGAAAAACCATCGCAATTTCTCAGTTTCTAGTTACCTTTGTCAGTTTCATATCAGACGACACCAGATTTGCTTCCAAAATTCTGCTACATCATTTTTGTGGCCAAGTGGATCATATCTTTCAGCCAATGCATGCTGTGAAAGACTGACCAGTCATGGGGTGATGCCATTACAAGAGAAAGAATACAAGATTTCTTTTAAGATCGGAACCTTTCTTCTCACTCTGTTTTACTTGGTTTTCAAATTTGACTAGTTTAACAGTAGAGGTAACTGTCCACTCATCTATATGGGTATGCACATTTTTTTTTATGGATTATAAATAAAGGTTTTTTTACTTTTCATCAAGTGTTTAGTTTTTCTCACCCAACTTAAAATCCATTCAGTTATTCCACAAATGTCTTGCTTAATCCTCCTATTATTAAAGGGATCTATCTGATACTTTTGAAGAAATCAGTTTACCTGAGAATACCACAACATCTAGAGTAACCATAAACGAAACTTGATGATTCTTTTAAATAAATGATTAAGAATGATGAAATAGTACACATTAATGAATAAAGTTTTGTTGATGCACTCCTGAAAGCCTATGGTATTTGAAATTATTCTGATCAAAAAATATTAGTAATAGTTTTACACACTATAAAGGGTCATCAGTTGGAAAAACATTGATTTTGTGCATATCAGTAACCAATAATGAAAGCAATTTTAGTAAGGAAATCTAATATTAGATGTTGTTGTTTGTTATTAAGCACTAAAGCACTAAGCAACACAAAAGACTATCTTTGCTCTGCCTGCCATGGGTATTAAAACCTGGTTTCTAGTGGTTTAAATCCTCAAACATACCATTGTGCGAATGGGGGGGGGGTGCTATAATTTTGGATAATTATATTTTAGAGCTGATGTTTACAATCCAGACTAACTTAGATTTAACACGGTTAAATAAATATCTCTTTCTTTACTTGGAGTTTCTGTAAGGACAGAAGGTTGTGCATATGGTGCATGCTTAAGAGAAAACATCCCAAAAGATTATTTTGGATGTCACAGATACACATGTGCATGTTAAAGGAAGTGCTGAATGTAAGTACATTACATAATACCTCTACAAGACTGGAATCTATTTACTGATAATAATGTAGGTAAATTACACCATACTTTGTTAACTCTCCTACTAGGGGCCTAGACAATTCAACTGAGTCCATGACTCTAAATTGACCTTTAGAGTTTCAATATTACAATTTCTAATATGTTTTGTGTATATTCACACACAAAAAAATCTGAATTTTTAATGATTATTTGTTTGGAAGTTTGCACTACCTGTCCCTAATTTAGCAATGAAAGACTATAGGGAAGGCAGTTAATCATCTTCACCTAATGACTACTATTGGGCAACTCTTTTACCAACAAATAGTGAGACAGACTGTCACATTATAATGCTCCCATAGATGAAAGTGCAACCATCTTTGGTGGGATGGGGATTCGAACCCATGATTAATGGTACTAATACACTAAATACTTTTTTATTTAACTAAATAATGCACCTAAGAACACAGAATAATAACATGTAAAATGCAGACAATGTCCTATAATTAACATAGGGTTTTCTAAATATGCAATAAAAGCTATTAAAAATCCAGCTAGGGTCATCGATATGTTTCTCGTGAAAATAATAGTTTGAATTGGAAGTGAAATAGACACTTCTATGAACAGATAACAATGCAATAAAATATATCATAGGATAGATTAAATTTTAGCTTTCTATTGCTTATAGATAATATAGTATTAAACATCAGAGAGAACTTTGGCAACATATAAAAAAGAGGATATGACAGGTGGGCTCAGAGGATGGTAAATGAATTAGAGAAGAGAGCAAACGTCACAATTCTCACACTAGGGGAGATTGAGGATTTTTAAATATATTTCCTTATAAAATTAAGAGCTTAAAACATATATATAATATTAAAATTTGATTTATTAACCCCGTTTTGATACCAAATTTATTGATATGCCATGATAATGAAGTAGTTTAACTGAATATTGAAAGTAACTTTTTTAAAGATCAAAAATCATGATGTGCACTTTGACTTGCCCATGGCAAGCGAGTTAAGACAGGGCTGTTTTTAATGATGATAATGTAGGTTAATTATAAGACTCTGTGAAGATGGGGTTGTTGTCTTGATAGTAATATAAATTATTATTTTGTGTCTTTTAGAAATGAGACTGTGTTCACTAATATCAATGTAGGTAGATGACATTTTACCTCGTAGAAATGAGCCTGCGAGCAGATTTTGGAACTGAACCACCTTCTGACTCAGATATATTGACTTTGTGGTGACCACCATCAGAAAACATTATGTATACATCCAACATGCGATCTACAAGGTGCTGCAAAACTGGCCATTTTGGTCAAGATTACCTGAAAATTTTCAGTAAAAGTTTGAAATTCTCACAAGTATATTTTTAATAGCATATCACATATAACTAGTACATCTTTCACACAGTTTGACTCTTTCAGCATGGGATCGGTCCCAGGGACCGACCTCTTAACCATTTCATGCTTGTTATAGTTTACCTGTTATAACTTTTAATTTAGTGAGCAAATGTTAACGAAATTTGGCAGATTATCAGTTAATATTACAATGCTTTCATACACAAAATATCAGAATTTTTTTATTAACTCTTGAGGTTTGTAAAGCAATGTTTTTCCCATATCTTTTTCCTTTTTGCATATCGCCTATCTATCATGCAAAGTAATATTCATTTTAAGATTAAAATACTATTATGCATCAGAAAATTTTGAAATTTCTCATGCGAAATCTTCATAATGTCCACACAGTTATCAAACATTTCTTAAGAAAAAACTTTATATTTTATCTGTTATTTTCAGTAATTAATCTTTGTATGGGT